ATGCTTGTTTTGCTTGTATGGACATTTATCAACCTTGTGGCCCATCTCATTGCATTCATAGCATCTTCTTGTTGCAACTTGGGGTTCCTTTCTTGCCTCTTTGTACATTGGGCATTTCTTGGTAGGATGCCCTAATTTCTTGCACATGAGACAAGCGCTTTGTCCATCACTTTTCTTTTGGTTGGCCAACTTGTTTGAGTCCTTTTGTTCGGCCGCTTCACACTTGTCGGCCCAACTCTTATGTGGACACACAGCCCACTCATATCCATATAATCCACAACCATAGCATAACCCTTTTCCATGTTTCTTACTCTTGGTTGTTTTGGCCTTGCTTGAAATGTGATTTTTTTGTTGGGTTTTGGAGGGAGCAAGGTTTGAACCCTTCTCAAGCTTCTTCACCATGTTATCACGGTTATCTTGAGAAGGTTGTGCTTTCTCCTTACCCTTCAACCGAATCTCATCTTTCTTTAATCTTTCCACCTCTTCTTTGAGCTCTATGTTTTCTATGAGATTTAGCTCAATCGAAGATTGGCTTTCTTGAGGAGCACACTCATTAGTACAAGAAATATTTAATTGAGATGGTGTACTAGTGAGTGAATGTGTGAGAGGTTGAGAAAATGTTACCGATGTGATCATAACCTCATGAGCCACCTCAAGCATGATGCTTGATTCTACTACTTCCTCATGAGAGCACTTTGGATGAACACAGTTTGCTTGTAGCACATTATATTTGTTTGATAGTCCATCTAGCCTTGCCTTGAGCTCAAAGTTTTCCCTTCTCTAGTTGTGAAACACTAGAAGAGGAGTTAGTAACTAAAGCATGCTCAATTGATAATTTTTCATACCTCTCATTGATTTCCTTTAGTTCTTCTAACTTGGAGATGAGAAACATTTCTTGCCGTTGAAGTGATTGCTCTTGCTTCTCATTCTCTTCTTCAAGTTCATCATTCTTTTCAACTATCTTCATGACGATGAACTTGTCTTTGCGGTTGAGATGATCAAGGTTGTAGTTGTCTTCAACTTCAACAACACTTTTATCTTGATCATCCACTTGTGCTTTCTCCTTTTCTTGATCTTTCTTGTTACTCTTCTTCTTGCTTTTCTTGGCCATGAGACACAAGTGATGAGAATCATGAGATACTGAGGTTGAATCATCACTTGGTCGCCACCGGTCTTGAGCATCCTTGCAAATAGTTGCTTGCTGCTTCTCTGCCTCGGCCATACCCGGACACATGTACAGTCAGACAGCAAGTCATGCGCTGCTTGCTCTTCTTGCTTTGGCTCGACGCTCTTGAGGTCTTGTGAGGCTTCTTCGCTACATGAAGACACAATGGACATACTTTCCATTGAATTGCATTCAATAGCATCATCACATTTGGATTTTCCATATAATTCAACAAGTCTAGTCCAAATGAGATGAGCACTCTCCGAAGGTGGTTGTCCATTAAAGATTGCCTCATCTTGAACCTTTGCACTCAATGTACTCAAAATGACATTAATAGCTTGAGCATTGAGTTGCACGCAAAACTCTTCCTCTTTTGACAAATTTTTGTAGTTACTCCAATCAACTATAGAAAGAGGTATGCTTCCATCCACAATATGCTCAACAAGAGGACTAATATCCCTAAAAGCATTGAGTACATGAATTGACCAAGGTAGAAAGTTAGAACCATCATTTTGAAGAAGCACCGGCTCCAACTCGATAGGTGTCGACATCCTTTTCTCACGGTGGTGAAGCTTTAGGTGAGAACATTGCTCTAATACCACTTGAAAGGACCTAGGATGCCGCCTAGAGGGGGGATGAATAGGCGTTTCTAAAAATTAACACCTTTAAATGCGAAAACGATTTAGTAATGGGAGTTTCCAAAATAAAAACTCTAAATTAAGAGTAATACCACCCCTCACAAGTTAGCCTACAAGTAAATAAATAATATTAAATAATCTTAGGAGCCTAGAACCTGTAACACAAGAGTTAGAACACTGATCAAATAAATTCAACACTGAGCTCTAATATCGGACGTGTTCGGTAGGCACACGTGTTCTATAGAATAGCCCCAAACTTGCTCCTTTTGATTTCAATCTTCAGACCAACCTATAGGCACCCATTAAAGATAGTGCCACACATAGGTAACCTGCACAAGAGGTAGAGCAACACAAATATCAAATAAAATGCGAATTGAGACACGATATTTGTTTTACCGAAGTTCGGACTCGTTCGAGTCTTACTCTTCGTTGAGAGGGCTACGGGCGACCCAGCAAAGGTCAGCCCTAGAGGGTACCATGAAGGTCACTCTAGCCGAAGTCTTTTCCAACTCATTTTCTTCCTTCCACTAGTTGATTCCGAGGCGGCGAAATCGACCCTTACAAACTTTCCGAGGCACACCATAATCTCTTGGATGCTCTCCGACAACGTCTAGCCATCTAGGACCGAAGAGTCCTAGAGTAAGAAATGCAAATCATGAGATTGACAATATGCACAAGTGCTCAAGTGGTTGAATTGCTCTCTTTTTTAATTTCTCTTAACCCACTAATGGATTTGACAATTTGGATCACACAATCACTAAGAAAGGGTTTAGAAGAGTTGGCAAAGCTCAAAAATATGTGGGTTCACCAGCAGTATCAGCAGCCTCCAAAGGTGGAGGCTTGGGGGTATTTATAGCCACTTTGAAAGACTAGCCGTTTTCTAGCCGTTGCCATACCGAACACGTCCGGTATGACTTGCACTGCGCCAATGATAACTGAGTTAAAGTATGCGAGGTGTCTGAACTCCCGACCCTCGGCTCATTTAAAAACTAGCCGTTGGGCTCTGGTCTACTATACTGGACACGCCTAGTAGCATACCGACACGTCCGGTGTGACCAGGCAGTCAACTCTCCAAGTCAGTTAATCACGAGACGTCGGAACTCCCGATGATTGCCGAACTCCCGACCGTCGGAACTCTCGACTCACGTCGGAACTCTTGATGAACCAACCCGAGAACACCAAGAATTTTTCCGTGGTTGGGCAAATACCGGACACGTCCGGTATCAATACCGGTATTGCCAGACCAGCAAAAACAAGTTAGGTCTTTTGTCTCTCAAACACTCAAAACTCACATGGGTTGGCTTGAGCACTTATGAAACATTATCTATCAACATGTTGCATCCCTCTTAATAGTACGGCATTCCTATTAACTCAAATTTAAATGTATAACGAATTTAAACATTTTGAGTGGATCTCTTTCAACCAAAGCCATGTATTCCAATCTTCATCAAGTGAGGGTGCCAACATGTCAACTTTGATCTTTTTCACTTGAGCATAGCCATCTTGAGCACGTGACTTGATTCCATTCATCAAATATAGATAATCCTAAATGTATCAAGTCACTTCCCTCAAACACTTCAATAGTGATTTGATCCTCCACATTAATCTGACAATCATAGCTTGATTAGTACCTCAACTAAATGCAAGTACTTGCTTCTTCACCCTAGCTAGGTTCTTGACCACCAAGCCGTCGCTTGTCCTTCACCCTTGCTTAGTACCTCGAAAACTTTCCTCGCTATCTTCACCATCTCAAGCCATCAAGTCACATCTTGTGTTGAATCATTCATTCATTTGTATTGTTATCTTTTTCATTTTAATTAAGCAAGCTTCAAATATGAGACCATTCCATATGCAATCCCTCATGTCTCATTAATTAATTTTTACCGTGCTTGCTTTCACATAGTATATGAAAATCCCACAATAAATAAGCATTTGCCTGAATTCCATTTGCATTGTTGTCTTGTGCTTGAACTAGATTGTTTATACAACAACACATCATTTTAACTTTATACAATTTAATCAAGTATCTGTGAGATAACCAATTTTCTGTCCAACACTTAGTGAATATGTTAGATCTTTAATCGTGTTGTCATTCAATCATCCAAAACCCACTAAAGAGATAGATGCACTTTCACTCTTGAAGATGCCAACTCTACCAGAGAAGCTGCTCCACATGAGGAGCCAGTGTCGGTGCCCCTCTAGAAGAAGTTGGAGCCCTACCTAATGATGTCTTAGTATCTCGTTTTTTTCTCTAGACTATACCGATTTTCCCCCTAGACTAGACCGGACTGACGGCGCCATACTTAAACCCAAAACGACGTACCTAGACCTAAAATGTCTATAGCTAATATTTTTAGAAAATTTAAAAGAAAATATTTTCTTATTGAAGCAATGAACTCCTATTCACATTTTAGATAATAATATATACTCGCTCCATTTTAGATTGCAAGTTGTTTTGGCTATTATAGATGCATAGTTTTTATTAATGTACCTAGACATAATATTTAAGCTTGATTATATAGTACCTTTGACTTAATATAGAATGGTGGAAGCAACTCAAGAAAACACAAATAACACCTTGTTTAGAGAAAAAAGATGTATACATAGAAAAACGGATTGACTTACAATTTAGAATGGTGGAAGTTCAACTCAAGAAAACACAAATAAAATATAAAGGATGATAGATCAAATGGAAAAACTAAGAAAATGGTTCATTCTCTTTTGAAATATCTGCAAGCGGAAATGTAACCAGTACACTAAATTTATGAGTATACATCTACAGCTCTTTCGAAATGTTTTTTTTTAGGACGATCAGGTGCCTGGCCAAAAGGATCCCAGTCAACTCTCTCTCTTACACGTAATTTGCACCAAACGTTTCATTTGGAAAATAGCGGGGAAAAGGTCTATTTTACATATTTTACACGTAATTTGCCGTGCTACAGGCTCCGTTCGACTTGCTGAAACTTAGCTAAAACTGGATTGTTCTGACTGAATTATTATGAGAGAAAAACACTGTAGCGGCAAAAAAAAAAAAGCTCAACCGGTTTCGGTTAAGCCGAACGGGACCGAGACGCACCAACTCTGGAAATGTCGAAATGACGGAGGAAGATGTCAGCGCATGGAATCGCCGTGGAAGCGCGCGCCGCCAAACGTGCAACGCACCCGCGGGCGCAGGAGTCGCCTTCACCTACTTCACCTCAAGACGACTTGTCCACCTGATCGGCGGCGGGCGCCGTTTCCTGGCCCTCTTGCTCGTTGTGCTTCGCGTCGGCGTCGGCCGCGGGGGCCTCATCAATGACCTGCGCCGTGGCGGCGGCGCCGAGGTTGGAGGCGTGGCGGTGGTGCTTGCAGCGGAAGGAGCCCGGGTGCGTGGTGGGCGCGCACACGCACGAGGCCCTGCCGCCCCCGCCGTAGCCGGCGAGCGAGTCGTTGGACCACGACTTGCGCATGCCCGGCAGCCTGGGCGACGCCCGGTGCCCGTACCAGTAGGCCCGCCGCTCGCTGTCCGTCATCACCGGGCTGCCGTCGCCGCCGTCCATCTCCGTCTCGCCGGACCCTGCCCATGGAAATCCATGGCGCGCGAGCAAAAAAGTTTCAGCCGAAATCACGTGTAGGCAGCGCGTGTTGCACGCAACCCCTGCTCGTGCATCAAATCGAAGGGAGACGAGGGCTACTTCACAGCTGCTAATGACACGTAGGAATTGCGGTTTGAGAAATCCATTTATTCTACGCATGAGGTGGTGCATTATGAACCGATTTTTCAAAGTTGATGAAATGATCCTACTCGTTATATTAGTTCTAATTATTAGTTTACGAGGAATAAAGAGTGATGAGATAATGAACTAGCTCAGTTCCTCAGACCAAACCTGATTTTCTATTGCTGCCAAGACGACGGTAGCAAAATTGGCTGATCCATAGATACCAAAGAACAGGGGAGATAGCAAACGAGCTCTGCTCCCAAAATTCTCTCTCATGGCACTGGAATAAATAATATAGCAAATGGTTATTGATCGGGTTCGTACCTTAGGCCAGCAGTTTCAGGCGTCCAGCAGGAGCACACCACGGATGAAGGGAGTCCGAACGAGGAGGCTCTAGTTGCTGAACTCGAAATTGGGAGAAGATACAAGAGAGGCCAGCATTAATAGAGGCGCATATGGCACGTCGGCGCGGTGGGTGTCGACTCATCGACACGGAGAATAAAAAGAACGCCACTTCAACGCCGATCTGTTTCGACTGGTATTAAAGTCGGCTTAAACTGTTTTGTTGTGAGAAAAAAATACTATCGTATATGTTTAAACCGAAAATCTGTTTTGTTGTACCGATAAATTCATAATTCTAACGATAAATCGGTTGATAAGGTTTTGTGGGGCAGCTGAATGCATACTCTATGTCATGCAGTGTAAGCTGATGGGATGACATTTGCGGCGAGCACCGTAGACACGTGTTCGAATCCTCAGAAAAGACATCACCATGGCATTTGCAATGGTGTCGGATGCTTAAGCATATGAATTGTACTTGTATAGCTGTAGGCATCATTGTTGTAAGATCCCATTTTAGACCTTGTTTGATTAATTAATCCCATATCTAACAATGGATTAGAGAGCATCAAAGGATACCGGGAGGAATTAATTTGTAGAGGACTTAACCCCCTTCAATCGGCTTCGATCCTATTAAACAAAATAAACTTTTAAAAAGGTTTATTCTCTTAAAATGTCCTTAATTAGTTTTTAGAGAATCTTATTTTTATGCACCAGTAGGAAGCCGTTTCTTCGCAGAGTCTTAGTAGAGTCTGATGAAAAAAGTCTCATAGATACCATATGGTCTGTGATAACCTTGTACACAGATGGTTTACAAAACCATAGCATCAACATCAACATTCTTTATCTGCCTCCTAAATTCTTACTATTGACATGCAAGTATTGACATGCAAGACAATGCATGGAACTATGGAAGGACAACTAATCCCGGTAGGCATGACTTGTTGGCCAACTTCATGGCGGCTTTCATTTTCCATTGACCCTTTGCAAATCCATGCGAAAAGGCATAATTGACCACATATTCAAAGATCCTTCTGACTCTAGAATAACAAAAATTCCTAACTCCAAATTGCTTATAGCTGCAAATGAGGTGATGATGGATGACCATTGTTATCCGGTGCGACACCTAATTTAGTACTGGTGCATCGCTTAACAACGCTCGCTACGAAAAATTGAACGAGATGAGAAAAATTACTTCTTCTAATCTTCGGTAGTACTTTGTCATGGTCAAATTACATCTTCTAATTTTCTGGTGTTTGCTCTGTAAATTTTCCTTGAGATTTTATATGATTGTTGCTTTTGACAGGTTATATGATTGTTGTTGTATTGCTAGATTCTAAACCGTTCTTATTCAACCGATGTAGGAAAAGCATGCTAACTTATGTAGTCATTACTTTAAAAATACTGTATAGAAAACCCATAAAAAATAGAAAAGCTCGCATATGAATTTTAAATAAACTCTCCATGACAAAGGAAGAAAAAAACCAAAGACATATTAGTAAGTAAGATGCATACAAGAAGTATATTAATATTATTATTGTGTTACCAAACACGGTGGTTCCTAAGATGATACATGAAGAATTTCAATCAAAGTATTGCATAATAAAGAGAAAAAAGAAGAGAAAACAACACAAATAATTACATATTATGTACTGCATCCCTATTTAAATGCTGATTTTTTCTTTTTGCATAAGTTTTTGTTCAAACTCAAATTATAAATGTACATAGATGATTGCATTGTAAGGAGTATATCATTGTAACCATTCATATCTTGGTCTGAATTTTCATGCATCGGTTTAGGTGCAGCTTTTTTTCCCCAAGTAAGCGTAAAGCCGTAAACCATGGCTTGACAAAAAAAAAGGACGAAAATGCCAAAGGGCACGAAGCACAGCTCTGTACCTCACAGCCTCACCATGAGAGTTGAGAGGGTAAACTGGTAACTTGACAGAGAAAGCGAGGGTTTCTTCGGAGGCTTTTATCGTTTATTATCCACGGAACACTTCCGGTGCCGGCGGCGACCAATTGTGTGCTCGGGGAGGCGATCGATCTCTCACCATGTCCTCGGAGAAGGAGGCGGCGCTCGCCGCCGTGCCCAACGACAGCCCAACCATGTAAGCACCCTGCCCCTATCCCCGCTCCTTCTGTTGCAAGACCCACTGATTTGTCGTAGAGACCTTAGCAGTACAGTTCGGTGGTAACCGCCCCATCTTTCATTTGGAACCTGAGACTTGGGAGATTGTTGATCTGGTAATCCCGAACGTCAGATCGGGATTTGGTTCCCCAGTCTTTAGTAACTCGGGGGGGCCTCCGCGTAAGTGGGGATTGCTTAGGTTAGGTCTAGATCCTACTTTATAATCCTGCTTTATAGTGGATGTAATAATGGATTATGATAGATTATGCTTCCAAGCATTTGAGACCAGTAGTTTCTCTATGGGAAATTTGGGCTGCTGAATTGGTCAGTTCATACTAACTAACGCGATGCACAAAGAAACCGTCTGAGCTTAATGAATACTGAGATATGGTGCTTGTAATCATTGAGATAAGTTGTTTGGCAATAGCAAGTTTGGGGTTGAAAATGACCAAAAAAAAAAAAGTTCAAGTACCTGCATTGTGCACATTGCATATGAAAGACTTCGGGCAAGTGTATTAGTTCCTGATGTTTGTTGCATCTGCAGATTTGACAAGATCATAAAAAAGGAAATACCTTCTACTGTGGTTTACGAGGACGAGAAGGTATTGTGTAGTGTTTTCCTCTATATTCAATTAGGTTGAAAAAAACATTTTATTAGATGATCCGTTGGTTGCTTTGCTTGCAATTATTCCATTATGTGCTTTATGTTTAGGACATGGTACTATGAAAATTAATTTCCTGATAAGTGATAACTGATAAGCATGTGAAATTATGATGCGGGAAATTGTGAGAGGATTGTTCTCAATAAGTGGTCAAATGCTGTTGGTGCCCATATGTTGAATTGATATGCTGGAAAAATGTTAGTACCTATGTGTTATGTGTATGCCAAGTAACCCCGTAAAACTTGTTTCAGGATGCAGTAAGAATATTCTATTATTAGGTGGACTATGTGATGATGTGTGCATCTTTAGATAATTATGATTATTACATTTTGTTAGTGAAACAGAAAACTGGGCGACTGACTGAGCCTTGCTGCTTAGAACTTATAAGGCTCAATGTCTCATTGTCTTGTTTAGTATTTAAGCTGCTTCCGAAATTGGTGAACTTTTACCATTTCAAAGTAGAAAGCATATTATGTAAACGAAAACTGTAATTATCAGATCTTCATATTCTTTTTAAGCTTTATCACTTCTATACAAAATTAGTTTATTTAAATGAGAACAAGGAACCTGGTCTTTTACCGAGTAGCTGTTCTTGTCAATTATCTTGTTACAGGAGTATAGGGATCTGAGTTTCTATGCTGTCAATGGCTACTGTGCAATAGATTTCTAAATTGCAAGGTTCTGAGTGAACTGGGTGCTTGGTTGAATTCTGCTGTTTACTGCTGTGTGAATGGCTAAACCTTCAGCCCAATATGTGGTTCTTCTTCTGCTACAGATTATGAGTATTTGTAATCTCTGAAGTGCATCAATCAGATATTTTGGTTCCAGGTACTGGCTTTCAGGGACATAAACCCTCAAGCTCCAACGCACATCCTCATCATCCCCAAAGTCAAGGATGGACTAACTGGCCTGTCAAAGGTAGAGTTTACTGCTCATCAGTTACACTGTACTGTATAATTGTCTAAAATCTGTAATCCTCAAAAGCCAAAAGAAATACATTTCATCTTGGCCTATTTTCCCACTTCATAGGCTGAAGAGAGGCACGTAGAGATACTTGGCTACCTCCTCTATGTTGCCAAGGTTGTTGCAAAGCAGGAAGGACTTGAAGATGGCTATCGCGTTGTCATCAACGACGGCCCAAGTGGATGTATGTGCAACTGACTGAATGCCCTTAAACCACTCTCTGGCCCTTGTTTGGCAACTTCTGTTCTGTACTAACCACCTGTGGGTTTCTTCGATTGCAGGTCAATCTGTTTACCACATCCACGTTCATCTCCTCGGAGGCAGGCAAATGAACTGGCCTCCGGGCTAATAATATCTTGTGATTGATCAGTCTTCATGGCAAGGATTGCTTCTCCATTTCTCTAGAATAATTCCTGTAATTTCCATAAAAGCTAGTGCGCTGACCTTGTGCTATATTTGTGGAATTACCGGAAGCATCCTGCTGTGATTTATGAACACAAGAAACTTGTACTTGGTATCGTGGATTGACTCAGCTGGTGGAGGTTGTCCACTGTCCTTGTTGATCTGCTCAATCTTCTCGCCTGTCAACATTTTTATCTTCCAACGAATAGCTTCGCGGCTTTCATTATATATGGTACCTGCATTGGCTTTCTTCTTTCCAAGGTTATCGAAATCGCAAAGTCTAAATAGCATAGATCGGAATCTTAGGATATTTGTAGATTCTATTGACTAAAATCGGAGATCAAACCTCTCGTGATAATACCGATCGTAAATGTACGGCGTAATTGGGATTTTGACAACCATGCTTAGCACGTGTGATGCGTGTTGAACACTTGAGCATTCTGGCCATGGTGGCACCGAATGAATCTGTGTCAACTGTCTGGAATTATCTAGTGTGATAAAAGAAGTTCCTTGTCTACTGGGTTGTGTCTACTATCTGGAATTATCGAGTGTGATAAAAGAGTTCCTTGTCTACTGGGCCGGGCTAGAAAACAAAAGCTGGATAGGATTGAGACCCGGCCGATATTTTGCGGTTTTGTGAGGGCTTCCGGAGTTGGATTGTGGCGAGATGCCAGGACGGCCGTGGCCAGTCACAGCCTTGCCTCGCTCGCTTTTCGTCCTGAATCCTGATAAGCTTGAAACCGCAGTCCTGATAGCTTGAAACCGCCATGGCCATGGGGCTCCCCGGCCTCCGCTGCCGCCTCCTCCCCGCTCGCGGGTTGCTCCCTCCACTCGGTCCCGCCCTCGCTCGCAGGCCCCTCCCGCGGACCTCGGCTCTCCGATACTCCTCCCTCCAAGCCCAAGGTATTTTCACCCACCTTTTGCTTCATAATCTCATCCGTTTTGGATGTGCTCCTACCTCTCGTCGCCGGAGGTGTCGAATGCCCCAGGGCAACAAGCACACATCAGCACACCATCGCACATCCACAGTCGGTGGCGGCGCTCCGAGCACGCTCGACGGCTGCGGCTCGCCCTCACCGCGCCGGCGCACCGGCGCCACCCCCCCCCCCTCTGGTCCATCTTTCAAAACTTCCGTGCTTCCATCCGACCCCTCCGAGCTTCGGCTCCATCTCCGGCCCTCCGCCCCAAGCCCCCAACGTGCAGCGGGAGCCGGCAAGCTGCGGCTCCTCAGTCCTCACCGGCCACCGACAGCGCCCGCAGCGCAGCGGCAGTATTTGCGTTCCTCTTTTGCAGCTCAGCAGCGGCAAAAACAACTCGAGCTCGATTGTTCTTTTAGGGTCAACAGCAGTAACAGTTGCAGTTGGGCAGCTCCGCAGATAGTAGTTTTCATCAGCTCGAGGGTTAAGGTAGCAGTTTTCATCAGCTTGAGGCTCAAGCAGTAGTATACTGCTCCTTTTTTGGTCGGTACAGTACAATTTAGTTTTGTTTACCGGTATAGTGTAGCTTGAATAGCAGGTTTGGATATTTTAATGTCATTGCCTAATGTGTTAGCTTGCCTTTGTCGATCTTGTGCATGCTAGAGCTTTGGCCAGCTCCTTCCTTTTGTCGCTCTCATTCTGCCTATCCTGTCATCATAAGACATAAAAGCAGTAGAGGATAGCAGTAGCAGCTCGTGTACTCTGATTTTCATGTTGTTGTTTGTAGCCAAAATTTTGTTGTCTAATTTCGCCCTACGTCCTTTCTCGGGCTGGGTCCACCACTGAGTATCGAATGCTGAGCGCTTAGACGATCAGTAGAACTTTCGTGTTTTTTTGGTTGGTATTGATTATTTAACCTGCTGCTAACAGCTGGGGACAGTATTGGGGAGGAGGTCCTGCGCATGTTCCTTGAGGAGAGGCAACTGCATGGCGATTTCGTCACCAAGATCTCTGACATGGTCTGGAGGAGGAATGGCGCCAATGTTGATGCAGCTGAGGCGACCACGGGCAAAGGGAGTGCTGTAGATGTTGCTCAGCCTGAAGACGTGAGTTCTGCCAATCACGATGTCTGTGTTTTCGGCTTCAATAACAGATATTAACCGACCTAATTGGGATATAGGTGCGGGAAGATGCTGTGGACGAGGGAATGTTGAGACTAGCAGCAACCAGAGATTGGGTGTCCGGTGACAGCAGCCCTCCTTTAAGCAAGAGGCTTTCTGCGAAGGTGTGACATCCTTGCTGTTCATTGTTTAGGATTGTGAGTATGCTATTGCAACAATAGCTGATGGATTTCATAAAAAAAACAATAGCTGATGGAGAATTGGGAATGATTTTGCAAATGATGACAGGATAGGCAGAATGAGAGCGACAAAAGGAAGGAGCTGAATCTTTTGAAATATGAAGCAGTATGATTCCTTTCCAGTGTTCTATTTTTCATTTTCTATGCATTGCTTAAAAGAGTAATTACATGTTCATCTATTGATACCTTGCAGCTCAAGGATGAATTGCTGCTCTTGACCACAGGAATTGGAGCAGCATGTAGTTTATATTGTCTCCTGGTTTTCTCTCTCGAGGTACATCCTCATATCAAAAGAAAGAAACAAGTAAACTAACTCTATATCATAATTAAATGTTTCCGTGTCTAATTTAGAACTCTTGAAGCCAACTGATGTTTACCCCCAAAACAGCAGCTCGTTTTTATGGATAATAAAATGCATTGCCTAATATGTTTCTGGCTTTCTGCATAACTGGCTGTGCCTGAACTGGGTTGTATGGGCAATTGCCCATAGTTTGTCATTTATGCATTCTGGACCTTGCATCATATTTGTGTTAGTTTTTGAATCATGGACTCGAGCCAATATAAGGGGATGCACCAAACGTACAACTTGATGTGTGTAATTTTTTTCTTGTATGAAGTGCTCTTTCTCGAATGATTTATTAATGGTCTCATCATTAATTGGACATCCAGACACCTAGCTAAACTATCAGCTCTGCTTTTACTTTGAAATGATTTGATGTTAATGAACATAAAATAATTTAAGTGTGCCTACATGTGAGTAACTACTGTGACTAAATCATTAATCTTCTTATTGAACAGACTGCTGTCAGTTATGCTTTTGGGGTTGGTTTCAGGTAAGCAAGCCCTTCGCAGCTTAGGAGATTTTTACTCATGATGATGTCTGCTGAAGTTTTAACAAGTGCTTCAAGTATTCTGAAACTTGTTGCTCTTATGCTGAACAGTTGCTTGTATCTTCAACTTTTGTATCGACATGCCGATAACCTATCAAAGGAAGATATTCCAGAAGTTTTTCTTAGGAAGAAAGTGAAGAAGTAGGTTTCAAGATTCCACCTGCAGTCTGTATCCTATCATTCGGTTACTCGCATTCTGATTGTTTAAATAATTATGCCTATTTATGGAAATGCTAGAATTGGCATTACAAGTGAAGATTTGAAGAATACAATAGAGAAGACATTGGGTGGTGCAGGAGTAGCTCTTTCATCCCCGAGGCTTGTGATTCCTGCCGTGATTTTTGGATTGTCAGCTTTATCAGATCACTTCCAAAATAGCTTTTTCAGTTTTGAGGTGAGAGCACCACTCTGCTACTGTACTAGATCTCATATAATTGAGAGCACCACTCTGCTACTGTATTAGATCTCATTGCATTGGCAGATTGCCAGATATACCCTCTAGAATATATTCTTCTGCAAACATTTCCTGAAAGACTAGCTCTCTTTATGCAGGTTCTTCCAGGGATGATGGGTTTCCTTGCATACAAGGCTGCAGCTTTGGTTCAAGTCTACAGAGATAACGAGGACCTCCGCTTGATACTCCCTGAGGAAGAGGACGCTGACAGTGACAGCACTTGATGTATACCAATTACAGATTATGTTAACCCAGTTGTTGATAAATACAGAACAGACCAGTTTACAGAGTCATGCTTCAGTTTTGAACAAAACTTCTCTTTAGGATATCCTGAAATTCGTTTGCTTACCCTTTTGGAGGGGGGGAGGAAGAGTTCAATAAAAAACATATTAGTAGAACAGCTGAAATATAGATGGAACCCACATTGTTTTGCTCTTGGGAAACCATACAGCACTGTTGCAAGTTCAGTTGGAAGCAAGATTGGCGCAACAACAGCATGGTAGGAGTACAATGGTTTGCAACAGTAGCCAATCCATTCTGCAAGTTGGAGACTGCATAGAAGAGTTCTTACAAACTAGATGAGTATTCCCAACAGGCCGAAGGGCAGTTACAACTTGAACAACTTAGTGCCAGGGCAGCTTGCTACTACTATTTAACATGATTAGAAGTTGGCCGAGTTAGCCCGCCGGAGCCGATTCTTCAGCTCCTGTTGCGGCTCATACTGCACTACCGGCTCCGGTGCCTGCAGCAAGCACAAAACAGTTACCGTATCAGTTTACAATTCCAATGGAGTATATCTATACATATATGACATCGAAGTATGGGACGAAATCCAGATCTCAAAAGAGCAAATGTCTATGTGAGCTCATCGTTCCCTGAGAAGTCAAAAAGAATACAGTTCCTGAGCACGTAAAGGCATGCAATTTCGATCGCGCTGCATGTGTATAAAGAATGTCTCCAGCGTACCGCCTTGCGAGAAAGAAATCTCTCAAGTTGGTTTTGTGAAGTGAAGCACGGTGCTCCTCAAAGACAGCAGTCAGAGTCAATTTGCAGCAGCTGTGAGAAAAGTTAGCACTATATTTCTAGGCCGGCCACACCCGTTCTTGAGCATTGCTATGCCAGTATACCAACATAGAGTAGAGCCAACATAGAGGTTATCTGTTCATGAATGCCTGTTTGGTTTGGTCATCTTGTGATTTCTCTAGACAATTATGTCAGGGTGTCCCACCCCCAAAGTGCAGGGTAGGATACAGATCTCACCTTTCGGAGAGATTGTCACTTGCAGGGTTATACATACTGTCTTCAGATTGCATGACACTGGGCATAGAAAGGAGCATAAGAATGCTATGAAACCCGGCAAAGAAAAGCATTGAAACGCGGTTCGAGATAGATGTGAAGATGGCATTATGTACTGGCACTAGCGGTAATTCAGCCTGTTCGTTTGGCTGTGGCTTGTCGTAAACGATCGTAAATTTTCAGTCGGAACAGTATTTTTCTCTCACACAAATCAGCCAGCAGTACTTCTTCACAAACCAGCAACGAAACGAACCAGTCAACCGAACAGGCTGATGTTTTCACATCAAGCTGAATCCAATCCAAGTATTGCTGACGGGGAGTACAAACTGATGCCTTCTGTCTGTTCAATGAGCAGACATCAGGCATTGGCAGTTGCATAATAAAACTGTTCTATAACAGGAAGTGGGACAGCAACGGATGATCGTCAACGACCACGATGTCAGACTACCCACGATGTGAGTCAGAAGCGATGCCGAAACATGGAAAAGTGACTTTTGGCATCGGGTAGTGCCATTATGTGAAGCGATGCTGAGTTCAAAAACATTGGCATCGAGGAACCTACATGCATCGGTGCTGAGGAATAAAATAGTATTTCATTGCCGGCGTTAGCTGCTGGCTCATGCATAGGAAATGAAGATGATGCTCTGACATTGGTCCCTACAAGCACATGAATGTCGATGCTGAACACTGTGATGGTGGAATGTTTTTTCAGCATCGGCTGTGATAGTTTTCTCAGCCTCGACTACGCTGTGGGTAGTCTCATTGGCACTGATGGCTCTGTTCGGCCGGTCTATAAGCCGCTTGTGCTGATTTATACGGTTAATTTGTTGGGAGAAAAAAATAATGTACCATGGCTGATAAACCGGCTTATAATGTCAGTCCAATGCGCACTTGCTCTGCCTACGCATTGGTTGACTTGGCTGCTGCAGAAGAAACACTGGGCGATGGCCGAAAGATGGATAAGAATGGTCGACCATCCAACGCTGACATTTGCAGATGGCCAAGCGAATGATCATTTTAGAATATCTATGGTTCACTTTCCCTCTTTTTTTTTTTTCTTTCCCAATTCTCAAAACAGGATGGAAAAGCGAGTTTTTAAGGAGAGGAGAGGAGAGAATTTCCCCCGTACGAGAAGATCTGAAGATGCGCAGAAAAGGCTCGCTTGGGACGGGCTGATTGGACACAAATTTGTGGTCCAGGGCGGCCATCAATCAGGATTCGTGGGACGTCATGTACTGAAACCACTCAAAGCAGCAGAGAGCCAGTCACGCGTGGACAGCGGCAAAATGTGCAGTACTTGGCGCGTCGCAACACGAAGACCCCCTGCGCCGCTGCGCGCCGGCTCCAAAGGAGAAAGTGTAACGCGAAGCAGCTACGGTTACGCGATCAATGATTGGCCCGACGCCATATATCGATCGTCACTAGCGTAACCATACCAAGCTGCTGCGACCGTTTCGGCCATGATGGCTCGATGCCAAGCAAGAGAAACAAAAGGGTTTTCTTGTCGTGTATTACACATTTCTTAGCAGCCGTCATTTCTCAGCGCAACAGCAAGGGGAAACACACAAGGTGGCGTTACATGCTGATGCTATTTATTTGGATGAACTTGAGACAAATGTGAAACCAAATGGATATGGATCAAAGCGTGTCACCACGATAATACCAGCTTAACCCTAATACACACGGATGGCGGATTTTGGTGAGTCATGGAGCACTAGGTTTATAATCTAGGCTCCGTGCTTGCGCGCTCTAGTTTACTCCATAAACCAAGAATTGACCATGTCCACTTGGAGTGCTACCACAAGTTGTTCCTACGAGCGCTTCAAATGCAAATTTCGACCTAGAAGCATGCAATGGCACTGAAGCCATATTCGTCTCAAATTTAAATTTTGTACTGGATTCGATGGGGGCGCATGGTTTGATTTGTGCATCGGTGCCATACCTTGTGCCCCCGGAGCCGCTCGTTCTCCTCCTCCAGCTGCGAGATCTTGTTCTCCAGCTCGTTCGTGTACGCCTGCGTTTCAATTCAATGAATCAAAACACCACAAGTTTATAAGTACGTGCCCATTTCATTTCATCTAATATTCTAATGCAGTGGGGGGATTGGGGTTGGCACGCCACCTGCTTCCGCGCGCGCGACCTCGCCGCCGACTCCCGGTTCTTGATCATCCGCTTCTTGCGCCGCTCGTTGCACCTCTCCGCCACGCCGCCCTCGCCGGCGGCACGCTTCGCCCCGGCGCCGCCCTCCTGGCCGTCGTGGTACAGCGCGTCCAGCACCGGCCCGGCGCCCGCGGCGAGCGGCCGAGGCACGGGGCGCCCGACTGCGGGGTGGTGGCGGCCCAGCTCCAGCTGCGCCGCCGGGGCCGGGGCCGGCTGGTACAGCTGCTGCGCCCAGCCGCGGGCCCCGAAGCCCGTGTCCGTGTCGGCGGCGGCGGCGGCGGGCGGGCCGCCGCCGCGGGACAGGAAGTCCTCCAGCGTCATCTGGGCCCGCGGGCAGGCCACCGCGGCGCCCTGGATGTCCCGCCACACCTCGTCTGCCGTCTTCCTGCCCGAGCGGAGGAGGTCGTCCAGGTTGACGCCGTGCAGCTGGCCCTCCACCTCGCTGAACGTGAGGCTGCACACCGAGCCCTGCCGCGACAGGGCCCCGCCGCCGCCACCGACCCTGCTGCCGTGGGACGACATTGCCTCGGCTCCCATTCACCGACTACCTACTCCTGCATGCGACCATCACACGCGCGCGCGGTCAGCACGCGCTTGTCATCTTGACAAAGATGGAAGCAAGAAGAGAGGGCGATGGCAGGAATCCTAGACGACGGCGCATGGCAAGAATCTGGGAGGGAGGCGCGCAGGCATATATACAAACAAATCGCAGAGGGAGGGAGGCCAGGACTGGAGGAGGAGAAGCGGGAGGCGGGCGTGGGCGCAGCTGCTGATGGCTATAGCTGATAGCTCTGCCTAGCTGGCTTGCTGCTGCTGCTTGCTCCTTTCCCTAGTTGGAGAGGCAGGTGGAAGAAGCGGACTAGCAGAGGGGAGGCAAGAATTTAGGATTCCACGAAGAGGGAGGTGGAGCTTGGGCCAATGGGGGCAGACAGGCGATGCCTGGGAAGAAGAATCCAAAAAGGGTGAGGTGGTGGTGCGTGTGACGGTGTGAGGAGCTGAGCTGAGACTCATGTAGAGGGGGAGTGCGGAGAACTGAAAGCAGGAGAGAGAGAGAGAGAGAGAGAGAGAGAGGAAAGAAGAGGTGAAAACTGAAAGGGTACTGAAAAGAGGGGCTGCCTTTCAGCAGGGCCAGGACAAGGTTCGTGGCTATTTCATTCGAGGTGCGTGGTGCAGCGTGGAGTGCGTGGGTGCAGCGTGGAGTATGCGGGGCCCCACTTGACCAGTCCCTTCGTTTGGATGTACGGACACGAATCTTGTTGTAGGGAGGGAGCAGGGAGGAAAGGAAGGAAACATATGCTTGCGAATTGCGAGAGAGATTCGACTCCAACCAGAGGCTAATGTGTGATGATTCTTTAACAAGCTCCTGATTTGCTGGCTTTTACAAGAATCGCAGTAATCAGTCATGTTTACTAATAAGTTTATAAAAGAAGAGTATCGATATTTATAAAAGAAGAGTATCAAAATATGAATCTATGTTTTCCAAACTTTGTTCTTTAACTTCGCCATTCAATTTTGGTGACATCGACATCGCCTATGCTAACATTTGGGGGGGGCTCATATCGATCATGGTGCCATCGGCTATGCCTTCGCCAATGTTTTGACAAGGAGCTTAGCCACCGACTTTGACATCACCAACTATGCCTTTGCTAACCTTCGGCGAGGTGCTTCACCATCGACTATGCCTTTGTCAGCATTGCGGCAAGGGGCTTCGCCATCGACTTCGGCGTCATCGACTTTGCCTTCGCCTACATTTTGGCGAGGGGTTTCGACAATGATTCCAACATGATTGACAATGACTTCACCAACATATCGGCAAGGGGCTCCGCCATCAACTCTGGCATCATCAACACCGCCTTCGCCAACATTTTGGCACTAGGCTTTGCCACCGACTTTGGCGTCTTAGAATATGCTTTCGTCAACTTTTTGGCAAGGGGCTTCGATTTTGGTAAGCATCGGCGTCTTCGCCTTCACTGTCAATTCGGGGGGAGGGTTCACCATCAGCGTCTTCAGTTTCACCTTCGCCGTCAATTTGGAGCAAGGAGGTCTAAAAGTCCCTAGTTTGGTTTTGGCTAATTGATGAAACCTAAGTACTAACCTTTGTTATAAGTGTTATGCAAGATAGGGTGGTACACACCAATAAGTGGTGGAGCTAGATGATGGTCATGGTGATGGAGGTGACCAAAAGTGAAGATCATGTGGTCCAACATGGAAAAGAAGAAAGAGAAAAACAAAAACCAAGTGTTGATCAAGCCAAATGTATCAAATAGGTTTTTGTTTTGGCACTCAAGACACCATAGAGGGTGTGAGTGTATTTAGGATCGATAGCCGTACTATTAAGAGAGAAAAATCTTGGCTAAGCAGTTATCGAGTGCCACTAGGTAAAGTGATTCATGCATATGCATTAGGACCTAGTGTGCTAACATTTAACCCTTGAAAAATACTTGGAAAAATGCTAACACATGCACATGGGTTATACATTTTGTGGTTAGCAACTTGGAAGCAAGGGTGAAGTGGTTGAAGAGATAGAAAAAAGAAAAGGAGGAGATTGTCTGGGACCGGACCCTGGCTACGGTAGGACCGGACCCTGATAGGGTGAGTCCGGTCCGACGCCCTAACCCTAGGCTGAGGGAGAACAGTTAGGACCGGACCCATCATCTGGATGCGTCCGGACCCGCATGTGGGATTCCAGGTGTGTTCAGGCGTGGGTGTAGAGGCGACGTGGCAGGCGGAGAGGGACCGGACCCTGGAGCTGAGTCCGGTCAAGGTGACCGGACCCAGTCCGAGGTGTCTAGGAGCTCTCGGTGCGATTTTCATTGAGATCGGATCCTGGAGTCTTGGAGCGATCGGACCCGACGTAGGTGAGTCCGATCATATCTTCTTAGCGCGCAGGCGTGAACGCTGGTGAGGACCAGACCCTGGCATGCATTCGGTCATCAGGATCGGACTCGGTCCAGTTATAAAAACACGCGCGGGAACCTTTCTGGAATCATTTGGACCTTATGGCCGCGAAGCGACCGGGCCCTAGGGTCTAGGTCCGGTCCGAGGATTTGAAATGCGCCTGGTTAAGTGACCGTTGAGATCTAACGCGCGAGATTCAAAGGCGGGACACGTGGATAGCATCAGTGGACCAGACCTTACCGACCGGACTCTAGACAGAGTCCGATCAGTGAGCCTGGTGATGTCTACAAGTGTCCAACGGTTATTTGAGCCAAGGGGGCTCTCTAAATAAACTTGAGCCGGTTCTAGCTCACTCTCTTCCATATTTTCATCAGTGATATATCCTTGTGAGCATAAGAAAACACCTCCCACTCATATCCTCCATTGATTCATCATCATAGTGAGATTGAGAGTGATCCAAAGTGTATTTGCTTGAGTGATTGCATCTAGTGGCACTTGGGGATCGTTGTGGCTGCGGTTTTCTTGTTACTCTTGGTGGTTGCCGCCACCTAGACGGTTTGGAGCAGCGGAGGAGTATTGGCATGAGTTGGTGATTGTTCGTGGCCATCTCCCGGTGATTTGTGCGGGTTCTTGACTTTTTCTCGACTAAGAGCCAAAAGATACTATAGTAAATTATTCGTGTCATTGAGTTACCCTCACTTGTAGGTAGGTTCTTGTGGCGCCCAAGTGTTGGGCTAGGTTTGTGAAACACCTATTAGCCGCCGAACCACCAAGTGTGTAGTCGACACAATGGGGACTAGCGTGCCGGTAAGCACGTGGACCTCAGGAGAAAAATCGTGTGTCCCTTGTCTCATTGGATATCGCCCAATGTTCATTTGGTATTCATATTGTGATTGATTGACTCTTGCCACAGCCGGCATAATCACTTTACCTCTCTCTTGCATTACTTTGTTTCATACTTGTAGCTTGAGTAGAGGTAGCTTGCTAGTTGTGTAGTTAGTTGTTTAGCTTGGTGGTTAGCTCAACTAGAGTACAATAGCAACTTAGCCTTGTTGGTGTGCTTAGAGATTATAAAGAACTAGAATTGTGGTATAGGTGGCTTGCAACTCTTGTAGAGCTAGAGCAAAATTGCATTTTGCCATTTAGGTTACTAACCATTTGCTCTAGTAAATTTGTAGAGAATTTTTATAGGCTATTCAACCCCCTCTAGCCATTTAGTACCTTTCAGGGTCGCCAATGGTGACAACAACCACACCTACATCGTCTACTCTAACCACGCCAAAGAATTTCTCACAAGCTCCATCCAAGAGGGCTGGCAAGGAGCACAGAAAGACGCAAGACTTGTCTGGTGCCCATGAGTGAAAGCTTGAAGACGTGTCGTGGCCGTCTACAACTACATCGCTTACATCAACAACATCAATTGCCTTCGCCATCAATTGGAGTGGGGGGGTCGCCATCTATGACAACAACCATGCCTATGTCATCTACTTTAAGTACAAGAAAGAACTTCTCACAAATGCTAGCCAAGAGGGGCTAGCGAGGAGCGCATTGGACAAGCGATCCGTCGGAAGATGCAAGACTTGCTTGGCGCCCATGAGCAAAAGCTTGAAGACATGTTGTGATTGTCTACAACTACCTCGCCTACATCGACTACTACATCAATTGCCTTCACCGTGAATTGGAGTGGGTGTCGCCATATATGACATCTGTGACAACAACCACACCTACGTTGTCTAGTTCATCAAGCACGCGAAAAGAATTTCTCACAAGTGCCAGCTAAGAGGGCTAGCGTGGGGCGCATTGGACAATCAATTCTTCTAATGACGCAAGACTTGCCTGGTGCCCGTGAGTGAAAGCTTGAAGACATGTCATGATCATCTACAACCACGTTGCCTACATCGACTACATCGGTTGCTTTGGCAAAGGCTCAGTTACATAGAGAAGCCACCAGGGATTCAAGGCTAGGCAAAGGAGCAAGCTACCAGAGGCGAAGTCTCCATGGTTCGAGCGGAGTTTCGCTGAAGATAAAAGCATCTCTTGAAGATCTCTATATAGACAAGTTTTCCCATAGGATTTTTGGGATGAAGTTTTTAGTGAGGCACACACGTACGAGTTGCAAAGGGTGATCCTCACAGTCGGGGGGCTGAGTTATAATTGGGCCACACTTAGTTGTATTTAGCTATTGGGTTTGTACATCTGATCAAAACCAAATAGCTTGGGAGCTACTGTTGGGGGTGTATTATATGTTTAGGAACCCATTAGTGTGTTCAGTGTCCAATTATATAGCCTAGGGGCTTGGTAGATAATATTTACGGCCGATTTGTAGCCCTTAGAGGCTCTTTTGTAAATACAAGCCCCACCAAGGGAAATAATAAAAACACTCTTCTCACCTCCCTATAAAAGGGGGAGAGAGGGAAGGTGGAGGGGGACTTTGGACTATCTCTCATTTTCTCTCTTCCTCTCACTCTACTCTTACCTCCCATTATTCGGTCCTAGACCACCAGGCCAAAAGGTTTCTTTGTCTTTTATCACTCACAACCATTTGGTGGAGATTTAACGAACATAGTTCTTTGTCACGCTCATTCGAGTTAGAGTAGCATGTCAAAGTATGATGTAGATTTTGA